AACTGTGTGAATCAGCATTATAGTTTTTTTACAAACAGCTTTTGAGAAACTGTTATCGGCGTTGTTCAGTTGTAAAAAGAAACAGAAGATGAAAAGAAAAAAAAAACCAATAAAAATAGAAGTCGAAAACAATAGAAAAGTGAGTGTCAGTTATCAAACAACGTCACTTTTAATAATTTCTCAGAAAAATGTGTAATTTTTGCAAGTGTAAGAAAAGAGAGAAAAATCTCTTTAAAAAGTCTCTTTTTTTTCTTTAAACCAGGATTTGATTTCAAAACTAATAATATAAATCGTTTCAGTTGAGCAGAATGATAAGAGCCTAAAATACCCAACTGTTCAAAGCTTAGTTTTAAAATTTATTGGAAATAAATACAGTTAAACTAAATCTGGCACTTTAAGTTACATTTCTTTGTCTGTAGCAACTTTTTTTTCAGATTTTTGAGGTTTTTAAATCTACTGAGGAAAATTACCGGTTACGAAAAAATTATTTTTGTTAGCTGATGCGTTAAGGAAACAAGTTAGGCAAGTAATTTTTTTTTGGATATTTTGTTGGCACTTTTCTAATGGAATACCATTTTTGTTGCTTAGCCTTAAGTCTTTTACTGCACATCATAACCGTCTGGTTGAATTTGGTTTCAGTACAGTATTATACATGCAAATAAATGTATGCTTTAAGAAACAAATGACAAAAATAAATAAGTAAACAAAAAAAAAAAACAAACGAATAAATTGTGCGAGAAATTAAAACACTAAACTTCCTGATGATTACTTTTTTTTACAGTCGAGAAGAAAAAGTGTCAATTTGGCTTTTTAAACCGAACGAGATGTTAACGTTTTTAGAAGTTTTAATTGCATAAACTAGCTGGTTGTGAGAAGATATTAGAAAATAATACCACTGTCACGTCTGTTCTAAAGTTTAATTTTAAAACCTAGGTCACCGTCATCATGAAAAACAACGCTCGTTGGTTAAGTTGATATCCAGCTTTGCTGGCAGATAACAAATGACTAGCATTTAAAATTTTATTCTCAATTTAAAGACGCTCAACCTTCAACTTAAAAAAAACTAATATGTGCACTGTTAGCGACTAAAAAATAACCATTTTTTAGCAAGAAAGATAAACGCTATTCTTTTACAGTTTGAAATTGTCTTATCTAATGATACACCACTGGTTATCTTTTTACAACTTTTACTTTCTTTTTGATGAGGGTTGAATGTATCGTCATAAAAACGAAACTGAAATGAATAACCAGCAAAACTTTAGTCAAGATTTAGAAGAACAGATAATGCTTGATCGCAGAAGTTACTGTAACAGAAGCAGAAAACGGGGGTAACTGCAAAAATTCATAGTTCAGTTACCTCTAACGATAGCCACATTAGCAGAAAACTTGTCCATTAAATCCCTCAGAACACTGCAAAACAAAATATTAAAGAATTTGGTCGTATTAAGTACTCAACTAAGGCTTAACTCAGGCAAGACCAAATTGGTAAAGTTATAACATTTCTTCTTACTCAAACCTATAATCTTTTTTGGTACTGCTATAAATTTGTCAATGCAATCAAACATTTACTAAACGCTATAAAAACCTGAACGAGACTGCAACTTTGGTTTCTGATAGTTTTGGTTATTTATTTTTTTAGCAAAGGTTTCAACTGTTTTGCTCTTTTAATCATTTACTGATCTGTCTAATAACACAGTTCTGAAGTACGGTAGACTGAAAAGCAGAATACACTTATGAACCAAGACTAAAACTTCACTTTCAATCAAGCTTTTGCTTACAATTTTAAATTTTGTTAAACTTCTGCAAAAATTAGTCTTTTTCCTGCTAAACAAAAAAATTAAACAAAAGCATTGAAGGTTATTATATTGGGAAATTTAAAATTGTTCGGGTTTATTTAATATAAGTGGAACATGTGTTAGCTGATTTAATTTTGTTACAATTGAATTCATGTATTTGGCAGTTCAAATAAATAAAGTGGTAATAATTTTAAACAGTTATTCTGATTCTAAAGTAAAATTGGATAGGTGTTTTACAGTTAAGTAAAAAACTATATTGTTTTTCTATTAGCAGAAATTTTTCTTTGACTCTATGCGTAAGCGTTTGTCATTGTTACTTTTTTTGGTGATTACATTAATAGTTGTTTTTGAAAGCTTTTTTTTAGGTTATATTAGCAAAAAAAACAACAAATAAATTGTTATTTTTGTTACAACTGATAAAATTTATGAATTTGGCTAAAAAATTGAGAGCTTCGTGTTTATTTGTAATTTTTGAGTGTCCGTGAGGACAGCTTTTGGAGTATACTCAATTGGGTACAACTAACGAAAAGTTGAAATAGCTGAAAGCAAAGTTAAATAAAAGTGTTAATTGCGTTATATGAAAATACAACTGTGAAGCAGTTTTAATTATTGATAAAAGAGATTAGCGATAATAATACAGTAAATTTAGTTCTTTTTTTTTGGGTAAATATCAAAAAAGAAAAATTCTTTCAATAATTTGCACTTTTAATGAGCATAACAAATAAACAGAAGCCATACTTCGTTACTTTGACTTTCTTACTTATTCCTATAAAACAAAAGCAACTTTTTGCTTTCAAGAAAAAAAA